GCATTTTGAATCCGGCGCGCGAGGAGGTTCCTGAGCGGGCCGTTACACTCTCCGGATTTCAATTCAGTGGAGGAATATGGCGGCTGGAGGCACCTAGGCTCACCGCCGAGTCCGTTCTTGGAGACAGAAGAGCCCTCGCCTCGGCCCCGTTCTAGCGTGTGGAAGGTGGTATGGACAGGCCTTTGGTCCGGGAGGAATTTGGATAATTTTTTTTTCGGGGGGAGAGAGAAGTTTAGGGGGGGGGAGAAGGGAGGCTAAGGAGGTGGGATTGGATGGCGTTGAGGGATGGATGGATAGGGGAGGGGAGAGAGAGAGAGAGGGAGGAAGAGAGGGAGAGAGAAAAGGAAGGAAGGAAGGAAGGGAGAGGTGAACGTTATAGCAAGGCCTTGTCGACAAGAGAATTTTTTTCAGACGTTAACGTAAGCCTACATCGTTCTCAGTTTCGTGGGTCGTGTGTTTTCTTTTTTTCCCGGTTTATGTTTGAATGTGTTTTTACTTTTTTTTTTAGGGGAGTGTGTGTGTAGCAGGTGATATGCTTGAAGGATATTTGTAGAGGAGAAGGAAGGAGAATTCCGTGTCTTAGTTTTCTGATAAAGGATGTAGAAGGCGATTTTTACACAGGAGAAAGGGAAATGGTGAAGTATTAATGGCGAGAGTAGGCATTTTCTGAGGAGGTTGCATCCTGTTTTCTCACTTTCTTGAGACCTTGCTGAGGCATGGCTGGCTCTGGGAGGGATTTTCTGGGATTTATGGCGGGGAATAACCCATCTTCCCACTTTTAGGATGTTGAAGTGAAGCCCAAGGACTATCAGTTTGGGGAAATGTTCATGTTTTCACAGATGTCTTCTCATCTTTCTTGCTCTGTGGTGATTTCTTGGGGTCTGAATTTCCCATTGATGGCGGGCTGCTTATTTTGTGATGGTGAATTTTGACGTACGTTGAAGGATGGCCGTCACGTAGTGTTAATTTTACATTATGAGGAGTGTTCTTTGTGTCCGAGGTGCTAATCTGTGCATATTGTTGTGAAAGTGTCTCCAGTGAAAAATAGTGAATTGTGCAAATATCCATTCAAAATTTTGGTGTGTAAATATACTATAATGTTCATTAGTGAGAATTCAATATACTACAATATGGAAATGTTTAGATTGATGTGATGTTTTGGAAAGAGAAAGAATGATAGAGAAAACTGAAACGTGAAATTCTATTGTGTTCTACTCTATATTTTACACTTGCTGGTGAAGAATATTATTGTGATGATGATCGTAAGGTGACCGTCTAAGTTGTCATTTAAAAATTTGGATGAATGAGTACAAGACACCCACACGTTTGCCACAGGCTTATGTGCCTTTGGTTGCATCTCCATGCCTGTTGGTAGTCCAGTATAAGCTAGCACACTATGTACATTCTGGCAAGATAGATCGTCCTCGGCAGTTTATCATGAAATAAGGAATCAGTCCAGTCTCTCTTGCCAGAATATACCTGAAGGTGATTTATTGGTCTTTGCCGGAGCTTAAAGTATGAAGACTGGTTGACTACCAATTACTGTGTCTTGATCAGGTTGGACTTGTTAATGTAGGCCTCTCATCACAGATCATAGCAAGTTTCGAGTGATTATGAATGACGTACAGGCTATAGAGATTTGAGTAAAAAGTCCCAGTTTGAAAGTCTGTGTTATACACATTTACTAACTTTTCAATACCATAATGTTCAAGATATTTGAAAAATATTATATATATATTTTTTTAGTAGAGTTAATCCTTTAAATATAGAGAATTTAATTGACAATTTTATATTTCATGGGAATTAGGTGGACAGGTTTGGATTTAGAATTGATTTTTATTTTTTTTCTGTTTTCAGCTTCCAAGAATAAGTGAATGTTATTTCGAAGTATTGCCAGAAGGAGAGAAAGGATATGAAGCGAACTGAAGCCTAATAGGTAGTTTTCCCCTCAGACCTGTTTAATTTCCTGGTAATTCTTGATGAGACAGTCATAGATGTATTTCAGGAGAAAATGTTTTTCCTATTGCTTGTTATATTCATGCTGCACCTGTAGTATTGCAGAACAAGGTTGTTCATAGTTTTGAATTCACCATGACAAAACTGCTTTTTCATAAATTGTCATATATCCTGAACTATGCCAAAGCACATTTTGGGAAAAGAATATAGTCTGCAGTGATGGAATATGAAAGCAGCTAAATAAAGCCTGTTACCTTCATATTTTCCGAGATAAAGGCCTACTTCCAACCCGAGCCTGTTATTAGAAACTTTTCCAAGATTTGAAATCATATGTTATGGTTCAGATAGTTTTATTTCATGTACCTTGGAAACAGCATCTTCTCTGCATACCTATGATGGTCTCTTTAAGAGGAAGCCTTTTTCTTTTGAGAAATTGTTTGCAATATGAGATATGAGAATGACTTTAGTATAAATGCTCAAGAATACAAAGAAGATTAGGAAAGGAGTTCTGTTCTTTGAATATCCTGCTCACTTAATGCTTACT